TTATTCTTGTAGGTTAGAGCTCTTAAGTACAATAACAACATCAGGAGATTTCTTTTTAGATATAGGTCAAATGGATGATTGTCTTTAAATGTATTGTAATTCCATCTTCAATGAATTACATTCTTCTCAGAGATCCTTCTCACGGTTCTCCTTCTGGATTGGGAACCCATCGACTGTCCTAGCCCCATGTAAGGGCATTGCGGAGCTTCAAGTCATAGTAAGAGTTCCACATCTGGCGGATACTGTACGTTTGGACACTTGTGGTTCAAGTCATGTAACTTGGGGACAATGCGTAAGTTTAGTTTCAGGGCAAGTCGCTCGTCCAAAATGCGTCAGTTTCCTTGTTTGGTCTGACAAAGGAAATTTTCAGAAATCAGTGCATACAGCAAGCACGACAGAACAGAACGGACGAATTAACAGCGAGAAACATTCGAAATTTTATGGTCTACTGTCCTTTCTGTTACTCTGTCAAGCGCGCAAAAGGATTTTCTCTGGTCGTGATGGATCTCTAAAACGCGATTGTTGTCGTACTAAACGGTGGCCCAACATGTTCAAAAGGCTGTTAAATGTATTTCTTGTCACACGAAGCTGCTGACGCATGGGGTACTGTTGGATCGTAGTGATGAGAATCAAACCAAGACTAATACCGGACGAAGAGCTCAGGGCCGTTGCTAGCATGAGGCAAGACGAGGCAATTGCCTCGTCTTGATTTTGGCCTTCAACTTCTTTTTTTCATTTTTGCACCAGTATCGCTCGGCAATAAAAAAGTGAATTTCCACACTTGCCCAAGATTGACTTTTCTAAAGAAAAGTGCCACGGAAAATGCTCGAAAGAGCATTTCTGAGCCTCTAGGTTTCAAAATTTTCGGGGGGAGGCATGCCAGACCCGAAACTTGCCTCGTCTTGTTCTGAAGTCTGGCTACGGCCCTGGAGCTGACCAGACATATGGTGATCGAGGTATTCTTCGCTGATGTCGATTTCTAGATATAATCATAGCGGCAGTTAAGACAGTTAGACATTATACGCATTCGTTTTTTAAAGCCGAGCTCCTTTCTTCCGAAAACACGCGGATAAACGCGTATCTGGTCTACATCAGCTGTCACTACTGACACTTTTCTACCCCAGTGTGACCTTAGTTTGACGCGAGGTCGGTAGCTTGGAACCATTTTCCAGCAGGAACCATTGCAGAAGATTAAACAAATGCAATATTTCCAATTAGTTTAATAGTTCAATTGAAAAAAGCTCCGAACTATTACAAATTAATACTCTATCTCAAATAATTATTAACCCCAGATTGGAAGCTTTCATAGCAGCTACCATTAAGACCAGCCGTCTACAGTTAAAATTGAGAGATCGTCAGTTACTCGACACCTTTTCGCGTTTATTATAAATACCTTGAATATATATCTTTAAATATAAACCTTGTTTAGAATAACCCATCAGTACAAGGTTTATATTCAAAGGTATATAATTCAAGGTATATATAATAAACGCGAAAAGGTGTCGAGTAACTGACGATCTCTCAATTCTAACTGTAGACGGCTGGTCTTAATAGTAGCTGCTTTGATAGCTCCCTAGGTGTGGTTACTAATTATTTAAGGTAGAGTATTAATTTGTAATAGCTCGGAGCTTTTTACAATCGAACTATTAAACTAACTGGAATGGTTCTTCTGCAATGGTTCCGGTTGGAAAAGCGTGGCGGCCTAATGGTCATGGCGCTCTAGACATCCTACAGCAGGTGTGTAAATGGGTGGAGGCGAATTTAAAACGGGGAGCAACCATATGATGGACTAGCATCCCATTCATGGGGAAGGGAGAGTACAAACATTTCGTCGTTTAGGCTCTATGGGCTACTGGCCTGACGCAGACTTCTTTTAATTCTAGTACGTGTTTCTCCATGAGCAGTGCCGGTAAGTGATTTTTTTTGGGGGGATCATGAGAGAAAAATTGCGTTTTAAATTATTTAATAAAGTTCTGAATTTACCATTAATTTTTAATCATCACTCTTCTTATTTATTTATTAATTTACCTTCATCTATTTAGATTTATTATTTTTCGGTCATTCCAAGAAATCCGGGTATTCCGAGTATTCCGGGTATTCCGAGTATTCCGGTTCCGGTTCAGTATTCCGTCATCCTATGCTTTCCAAACTACCCGCTAGGTTTTGCATTCCGGTTGCGGTTTAAATTTTCTGTCGTTTTTGGAAGGCAAGATGAACATTTTTCCCAAGTGCGACCTATACCATGGTGCGACCGCTTTTTTATTACAAAGTGCGACGGCTTTTTTATATCAAAGTGCGCAAAGTGACAAATCAAACTAAAACTTCAAAGACCAAAAAAACACGGTAAAGTTATGGTTCAAGTGGTTTTATGACGCAAGTGGTTAATACGTCAAAGTTTGTGCTTTTAATCTATAAAAAAAACTTAATATCCCTCCAAAAAATAAGTGGCTGAGACTCATTGTGTTCCGGCAACGTGTTGGTAATTTTTCCGTCACTTGCTCAGTGTTTGTGCTTGACAGATCCTTCGTCGGTCTTTGAAGAGTTTTAGGAATCAGTACAGATCATTACATCAGCCCGAGGCAACAGTACGCCTCTTCACCTCTACCTCGACGCACCATATTACTGGTAATGTATAGGATATGCTGCGGAGAGGTCACCCCACTCTCCAGGAGTGAGGAAATGCCGGGAGTAGTAATAATAATAATAATAATAATAATAATAATAATTTAATATTTATATTGCGCAAATTAACATATGGATATGATCAAATGCGCATCCCAACACTTTTCGGGGGACTTTGGCCGGACTGCATCAGCAGTTTACAAACAATCGAAGGAAACTTATTTGAAGATGCCCCCNCTTTCTATAACACCAAGAAATAATTAGATATTATAGTCTTCACGGATAGGGACGAATAAATGGAGGTCGCGTCTCCTTCAGGGTTAGGGGCAGGAGACGTTAATTTCCCACGCACGATATTACTGTGTGATGGATGTCTTCCCTTGGGGTGGGATGAGTGGTTAACAGGACCCCCGTTGAAACCAGTGTTTACTACACTGAAGGGGCTATCCTGTATAAATATAGATGTCTACTCTACTCTTATCTTTTTGTTTGTTTGTTTGTTTGTTTTTTGACGGGCGTTTTAGCCACTTCCCACGTCATCACAACAAATAAATCATTACAGTTACAAAATTAGTGCAAAAAATGCCGAGAGCTCTTTTTGTCATGAAGAGCAACAATTCCATATAATCCTGTCGCCTCCCTCCATCATAATTTATTCTAAACTCTTTATTTATCTTTTTATTCCCTTTTTTTAGGGGGCTGGAGGGCTGGGGTATCTGTATTCGACACACGTGGTCACATATGAATGAATATCAAATGATGCCGGAGGGGAAGAGGATTGAAGTTGAAGTTCACTTTAGAAAAAACAAAACCCCACCCAGAGGGTTCCAAATATATATTTTTCATCAACTATGAATATCGAGGTACTTGTTGGTTAGCGGCTGAAATTGGGGTAGTTAATGGAAGCCACTTTCACTTAATGATTATTGCAAAGCGTGTTAGCTGTTTACTTGGCTTCCTTGCTAGGAAGCAATATTAAGATCGCGAAAATTATACATCAAGAACGATCCCGTGATAAACGTTCTGATACTTATAAAAGACTGCGGAAAAATTAGGCATCACTTTACCTCTTACAGTCTGCACGAAGTATTTGCATGCTACAGCTGTCAAACTGCCTGCCATGACAGGCTGCCAGCCAGCTGAAGTTTTCATTCCGTTGTTATAATAATTTTTCCTCCATTTGAAATAAGTATGGTAGCTACCTATCTATAGTTTATTAGAGCTTCTAAATGTTTCTACTTGTTTTAATTTGTTTCAAACCGTCAATAACAGTACTTCTTCGAATGAAAAAGTGCTGCAAAGAAAAAATTAATAAATAAATAAAAAAGATTATTAAAACAGAATAGGCCTACGCAGTAGGTGAGTAAATTTTTAAATCAGGAAATAGGTTTATTTTTTTATTTATTCACGCAGCTTTGCACTAGTTGAAAGCATTACCAGTTCGCAGTTGTACACCGCTCGTTCTTCATTTCTCGGCAACTTAAAAGGTTGCCATACCATCTACGTAATTATCAACAAATACAAAAACCTAAATTTTGACGGGTGAACTAACCTGAATCTCCGTTCAAAATAATTGTAACTGCATGAAGAAACTGGAAATAAGAAAACTCTTACAACTCTAGACTTCCTCTTAGATCTTGCTTTGTCTTTATAAGTTAATTTGTCACAACAAAAGATACTGAATCTATTTAATTATGTTACGAATAAATTGAAATAAGATTTAGGAAGAACCTTTCCGCTGCTTAGCACAACGATTTGTTGCTTTTTTTTCGTTATTGCGTGGCTCTGAAGTCGCTGTGAGTCAGTTGCATGCAAGCTCTGATGTATTTGAGGAGCGAAACAGCCATTAACAACACCTGTAATTTAAATCTGTCCTGATACATCTGCGGTTGAATTTTAACTAACTGGTCTTTTGCACTTTTCATTCAAATTAAAAATGAGCGAATATTTCTATTTCGTTTTAAATCCACCAAATTGGCCCCTTTTGTTATCGTTTATGGCCTCAAAAAGGCGGGTGCTTTGTCACATGATCGCTATTGCCAGACCGCGAGCGTTTAACGTTTTAAGCCCGAAATTTTTATGAAAATTTATAAAATCAGTACGTGATGGGCCGATCGAACGCTGCGTGCAGAGCGAATTCGAAATTATATACGGAATAATTTAGCGACATGTTTACAAAGCTACAATGGGAATATTTGTCAATTAAAACTTTTCTGATGATTTTATATGAGCGTGGCAATCCTCTTGGACTATTATCAAAACCGACCAATCGCAACTCACCGTCGAGCAACTGCAATGAATTCGCTTTGTTTCAATTTTGTATTATTCATAAAGGCGACTTTTTCAGCCCTTGACCATAAAACTCAGAAGGTGGGAGATATTTGCACCTGCTGACGGCACGAATCTCAGTTATTAACCAGTCCGGAAATTCGTATTCTTATAGGTCTTTAGCGGCGGGAATACTACTAACACTCAAAAGTAGGAAATAACTCAGAGTTTTTCTAGCGAAATTTATTTTCACGGAGATCCGAGTGAGTAGGAATGGCTTCAAAGGCAATTCAAACACTTTCGAAGCCGAGTGTCTCCCACACAAAAACCCACGTTGAAAGACCGAGAAGGGTTTGCTCGAAAAAATCCTATTGCGAGGTCGAGCCAGACGATGATGAATTTTCTGCAGAAGACGTAAAACAATACAGACCCAAGGGTAAGTAAGGAAGAACATTTTTAATCACTGCGCCTTGATCGCTGGTTTAGGATGTGATAATTAGTGCCTTAGCTGGTAAAATGAGTTTCTCGGAAATATATAAATATTGTGTTATGTTAACACATTTATAGAAGCGTTCGATGTCTTGAGGGAATGAAGCAATTTTAAGTAAAAAATAACGTCGTATTTTGACCGCATGCTGGGAGACGATTCTAAGAAAGGACTATATTTTATCACCAATTTAAAAAATGGTACAATTTAATCAAAAGTAATAATAGCGGTGAAAAGTGGCAGAGTCGTTGGAACAGTTATATTCGTTAGAAATAAAAACTTGGAGAAGCGCGATAACCAAGCATCTTGCTCGTTGTTTAACACAATGAACAGAAGGGGAAAAATAGATCGATATTACAATCATTCTTAGTCTTAAAAACACAATTGAATGAGAGCTTAACATTGTCCTGTGGCAAGGCAAGGTTATAATATTTCCTTTGTTGAAATAAGTATCTTTTACCTTTCGAACATTTCCATTTCGCGATGAGCACAAGTTTGTCGTTTTAAATATATTGCTTTAAATGTGAGCTTTACTCTGACAAAAGGGGATCTTATCCAGCGACGAATAGTCCGAGTGTTTTAAATACTGCCAATAATAACATATTACTAGGGTAGGACTTGTTATTAATTCCGAATAAATTGCTGATTGAAATAACGAATACAGCTTTTTAATATTTCAAATCCCCGATGTCTAATTTCATAAATTAAATCACGCTTTAGGAAACAAACTGAGCAGCAGTATATTTTTTTTCGTAGACACAACGTCAAGAAAATTGCCTCGTTTTGTTCCTAAATTTAAGTAAAGTACGTACTCATTGCCGAAAATGTCGTAGGGCTTTTAAATGCTAATTTAAAAGTGTTTTAACCTTATTGTTCGACATGAGTGATAAAACAAGAGAAAAAAAAAGAATCGATTTAAATACATTTGTTCCTGTCGACATTGGCAAGTAGATATTCGTACTTAAGTTTGTCTGTTTTGTCATTTTGAAGTTCGTCAGCGCATAACCTGTCGTTTACGACTTCCAAATTCGAACAGAAATGGTATAAACTTGCTTTATCAAAATGTAAGATCTTTTTCTGTGTCGACAGCTAACAATGTGACGCCCGGCTGCATAATTTGAAATGAATTATATCTGATATGGGCAGCTGCCTTCGGGTCGATGTTGAATGTTCATTTTAAAATCCCTTCTTCTTCTTTTTCTTCCTTCTCTTTTCTCCCCTCTTTTTGGTCAGTTCATAATTTTTAATAAGTCGGCAAAAAAAAAAAAAACATGAACAAACAACTTCCTTTATTTCTGCAATAAAGTAAAGACTTTTCAATTTAAAAGGTTTGATTTTGACACAGTCTCAAAGCGTTTTTCGAATACGAATGCGTTCTTATATCTTGCCAATGCTTAAGTCACTCTGGCCTATCAGGTTTTAAGTTAAATTTTTGTGCCGCAATATTTTTGTTTTCAATATTTTCATTTTCCTTCCAAGTATGGACTACATGATAATGTTAGCCCATTTACACTGGTCCCAAAACTCCGGAAGAAAAGAGAGATTGAATATCTGATTTCTGGAATGAAAGTTATCTTCTACCGAATCAGTGAATCATAAGTATGTTCTTCGGCTATTTTGACTTCCGCTTTTCCATCGTTTCTTCCGGGTGTGAGCCTAAATTAGTACTCTTGAGTTTGTAACATTTATTGTGAATGAAACGAAAAGAAGATGATTTCTTTTTGACAATTATCTTCATAGCAGCGATATTGAGGCTTAATCGGAAAAAATAAGAGCAAAAGCTAAAGGCAATACGACTTACACGATTAAAAAAAATATAAAATTCTCGGCCCTCTAACTTGAATGTATTTGTTAACCATATCTTAGGGTTTATCTATATCCCGGCCACTTCCCTACTGCATGCTCTTTCACTTCGGTTACAACTTGTGTAATTACAACAGTTTTAAGCCCATTTTTGGTAAACAAGCCGTAATTTTTTCCACTTTTTCCAGTAGGGTATATTTTTCGAATTTTTTCCTGTTCTCGTATTATATTGTGCTGAACTCCTCCTTATCTAACTGTAGACATAGCTGATTTAGGTGAAGGCCAGTCAAACCTCAAGCACTGCTGGTGGCTTATAAACATTTGTTTACCAAGTTCGACAGCAGTTCTACACCCACTAAAGTATCGCGGCATACTAGCAAATTTTCATTCCTCTGAGAAGCTTCAATGTAGTTCCTCATGTAGTTTACCATTAACATACACATTGTTTTCTTAGTAGTTATTCCGATTACTTGCCAGCAAGGAGTTGCACGTTCTTATCACAGTGCAAAGTATTTTGTCCACCTAAGTTTGTTTTCGCCACTTTCGAACACAAGATGACCACATCGTCCTATGCCTGCTGTTTATTTTACCCGCTGTCTTACTATCATCTGTAAATATCATTTACATCGTTTCGTTGTCTGACTTTGTTTCCTCCAGCAACAAATGTTTCAATGATATTCCTGTTATGAAGCAAGCTTCATTTTTCCATGTTATTCGAACTTCGCAAGAAGTTGGGTGACGGTGATGCAGAAGAAAATACTACTCGGCCGTTCAATCTCAAGCTTACAGAAGTACGGTTTCAAACAGTATATATATATAAAACTGTATTTGATTCTCTGCTGCCAAAGGTCTCGCTGGAATCCCGATGATCAGGACTTTGAGTTTTAGGCTCAGGAACTAGACAAAAACAGTTTGATTTTGGGGAGATGATTGTAAGTGAGGGACGCAGAAGAGAAAATGGATTGAAATGTGACTGAAAGCACTGGGTTGAAATATATTTCGTCAGTTTCTAGTCCAGTAATACACAACTGTATTAGTGTCACTACACCAAACGAGTCGTCGCATTATGTAAAATGCTTTTTTCTCTGACAATGTGCCTGATTAATCATGCAAACATTACTACTTTTTGATGCCATAGAGCTTCCTCAAAATATACGATAGCCCTATCCAAGAAAAAAAAAATCTTGACTTCTCAAAATACCGGAGAGAGCTCTAGGCCTAATTTTAAAATACCCTGGAGAACAAGAATACTTCCCTATGTACATTTGCAATTATTGTCCATCTACTTAGGCAAGAGTACCAATTTTCAAATAATAGAATTTCACATTCCAATTTTTTGCTGATTTTTGAAAATGAGAAATTCTGCCTCTGGATTTCCGTAGACTAGCGAGCACCTTTTGAAATGGGTGATGTGAAGATATGCTTAATGTAGGAAAACAACTCGCTGAGAGAATGAAAAAACGAACGGTGCTCCTGCAAGATATTGATTGATCTGAGATTTATCAACTAATATTGCCTTGTTATTCTCTCTCAAAGGTTGTGATTGGAAAAAATAATTGTATTTCACTCGCTAATCAAACCTCCCAAAGAGCAAAGAGCTACAGTTGTCAGAAATTTCACAAGTATCCGCGTGGAGCGAAAAAATTATAGCCATACAGCTTGAGAGACCTTTCTAAGAATGTGAAAGCTCCTAAGTGAAAAAAAACTCTTTCTAAATGTTTTTGACGATCGTCGTAACGCTCCTCAAAACAGTGGAAAGGTCACAATTTTTATAAATCATTCAAACGCTTACACCTGTCAAACTCTAATCACCCTTAGGCAGGCACTTCTCGCACCATGTGTGCTCTCACATCATTTTACACTTTGGCACTCTAAAAGATGCCCTCGCTAATTCTTAACTCTAGTGTGAAAAATGCCTTCGGGTTCCTTTTATTCTCGAGTTGGAACACATATATTGCTATAATATTTAGAAACGAGAAATATATTCGCATGTTTCTGTATCGTTGTGTTCTCGAACACGAGGGGACTTTTAAGTTCTTTATTAGAGAAAAAGTGAGTATTTCTTTCAAATTTTTACTCAAGGTAATTCTATGCATGGTATCTTTCAAATATCAGTCTCAAGTGTTTCCACGTGTTGGCAGAGAAAAGCGAATGTAAAAGGAAGTTTCAATTTTTGGCGCAGGGAAAGTAATCTTAATCTCGGCTAAAGCCAGAAAACCAAGGTGTGTAAACTTCATCATAACATGAATATTTACCGTCAGGATCTTAATCTTTTTAATTATTCTGTGTCTTTCCTGTGTGAGTCTGCAAATATTTGATCAGCCTTAGTATAACACAATAACTTGGCCGAGACAACTTAACGGCTCTTTTTTAAAATAAATCTGCCTTTTCAGCCAAGAACCAAATTAAGAACCCTTTAGTGATATTTTAAACATTATCCTCCGACATGGTTCATAGTAATCTCTTTCAACTTTCCATATTTGGCTCTTTGTTTATGTTTGTTGCGAAATAGCGTTTTTCCTTTTATTCACAAAATATAATAAGGTTTTTGGGTATAAATTATTCATCGCAGGTGCGTCTTAAATCCTTTTGTTTTACTCCGCTACCTGTTTTTGAGCAGAGAATAAATTTTATTTGCGCCTGACAAAGGATTGTTTGCATGTAGTAGTTTCTCTCTTCTTAGCTCAGGCGTTAAAATGTCCAAAATTTTTTCAGTCGCAAATGCAAAAACCCTCATTGCACCTATAAGACAGTAAGTTTAATAATAAAAAAATAAAAAAATTAATAAATAAGAAAATGAAAACAAAATAGTTGTCCCAACGGCCTCTTGCCCCGTGACCAGGAATAAAATCAAATCTCGAAAAATTCCTGCTTTGAGAATCCGAAAACAACGTTTGTCATTGGAAAACTTACACAGATGAAAACTAATTGAAAATAATCTCGAGCAACTTTGTGAGGTTTCAGCGCGCAATTGGAGACCCGATTCAAACCTCGAATAAAAATGCGTCTGTTGTATGCCACAAAAAAGAAAAATTATGCATTAATCGTTTTTAACTAGCTAAACAAACATCTGTTACTTTTTCATTTAGGTAGAAATTTTTTGGCGTAATTACCTCTGATAATTACTTAGTTCCTTTTACTAAACT